TGTGTCCACCGGTACCTAATGTGTGCCCGGGTACCTATTTTCGGCCAGTACCCAGGTACATATGTGTCCCGCGTACTAATGCTTCCGGTAGCCTATGTGTCCGAGTACCTTATAGTGTCCCGGTACCTATATGGTGTCCACAGTACCATCGGTACTGATGTGTCCGCCGGTACTATATGGTGTTCCAGTACCCAGGTAGCCTATGATTCCCCGGCTACCTATATGTGTCCCAGTACCCAGGTACCTAATGTGTCCGCTACAATTGTTTCGGCCGGTACGCTAATGTTCCCCCATATTAAAAGGCGGTACTATTTAACAGTCATTGAGAAAGATAAAACTATGGCTCCAGGCATGTCTCCATAAAATGCTCTTTTTTATTATCACAATATGAACATAATACTGAATCTACACACTAACCCTTTACTAATACGGGAACTCAATTTCTTTTAACACAACACGAAAAACAATTCTGAATTTAATTTCTAAGAAATTTATGCCAATTTCTTATAAATATTAAAAATACTATGAGAGTCATAATGAAAGCATAGGAAAAAAACGATAAATGAGAAAATTCGAACATTTGTAGTGATATAATAGAATATCAAACGAATGTTGTATTTGTTCCAGTTCTTCTAAATGACTCTGGTTACCTTTTGTCGGTACTGGGACACCGATAGGGGTACCGCGGGACACATAGGGTACTGGGTACTGGGACACATAGTATTGGGACACATGGGCCCCGGGTACCGGGACGCATAGGGTACCTGGGTTTGGCGACGCATAGGTACCTGCGGCTGGCGACGCATAGGTACCTGGGTAGCTGGGAGCACATGACGGCCTACCTGAGTGACACAATTAGGGATACCCCCGCAGGCCGGCGTTGGCTGTGTCCACTGGGACTATGTGTGCTACGGTGAATGCTTGGCGCGGCAACCATGCACATTTGAAATTAAGGACACATTTTTGTATTTGAATCCGAGAAAAAGCATAGCTCTCGGGAATGGTTACAATGCGATTCTGAGATCGTATGCAATCTGAACTGACTCTGAACTCAGGTGACTCAGTACAGCTCTGAAGTTCTAGACTGGTTTCGCCTGTTATGCTTCTGTATTTTAGTAATTGATTTCCGGTTTCAGGTTTCACAATACCCAGCAGTGACTTTGAGATCATTGAGGTGAGGGCAAGAAATCTGTGTGTGGCCAGCCCACATGTCACATCCAGTGCTCGCACTACAACAAGCGCTCAACCATCTCGAGCAGGGAGATCCAGACTGCTGTCCGTCTCATCCTTCCCGGAGAGCTGGCCAAGCACGCAGTATCTGAGGGCACCAAGGCTGTCACAAAGTACACCAGCTCCAAGTAGAGTCAACCGCCGTACCAGTAAACCAACCGGCCCTTTTTAGGGCCACCATTTCTTCCCAGAAATGATTACTACATTTGCAAACCTGCTTCCATCATCAATCGTACTGTGATAATAAAACGGATTACCTAACTCGTCGCTGCATCTATACCTGCATCTATTATTGCATTTAAGCGTACATTACGGTTGCTACTTTTGAGATCACCTTAATCCATTAAACTTGTGTTTCTTAATCAAAGGGTTCTCGTCATTCACCCTGAGCAAGGATTTGGTATTTCGTATATCTTTCACCGCACTCACTCCTTATCTCCTCTTTCTCTCTGTTGGATGTATCACTACATTACTAATGTTTATTATAAGAGAAAACATAATTCTATATTCATCACACCTTGTAATACCATTATTCTAATTTCTCTTAATTTCTCTAATTTTTATTAATTTCTAATTTATATATTTAGTATTGGACATCTTGGCACTGTCTGGCCAAAAACAGTTGTCTTCAATAATATTTTGCTTTCTATGCATTGTTGATTGCACATATAAAGCATATAAACCCATACAGTCACTGAGAATTATGCTATGCTTTTAAAATATGTAAAGAAATTCTTCAAATCAATTCTCTCAGTTATCCTTTTACATCTACATTGCCGCACACGGTTCATATCCTGTGTGCTATGGGCGCATGTTTGTGCTTAGATTTAACTGTTTACATATTGGCACTGTCTGGCCAAAAACAGTTGTCTTCAATAATATTTTGCTTTCTATGCATTGTTGATTGCACATGTAAAGCATATAAAATCGTACAGTCACTGAGAATTATGCCGTGCTTTTAAAATGTGTAAAGAAATTCTTCAAATCAATTCTTTCAGTTATCCTTTTACATCTACATTGCCGCACAGAAAATGCGGAAACAAAAATTAAGGTTATTCCAGACATGTCATTGTCTAAATTATAGATGCGTATATAGTGGCTCTATGAAGTAAAATGTACGTTTTACTGATGTACGGTTAGCTACAAGGGCCACATACGTCCGAGACATTGCGTGTTGTGCTCGCGAGATCGCGCTGAAATGTATGGGGGCGTCGCATTAGATTGTGATGGCGGGAAAACGCTTCCTTGTATCCACACGCACTTGGGGCGTTTCAGTAACAAAATGATAGCAAATAATCACGAATAGTATTTACTGCCAAAGCCTTACTGTTTATCTCCTCTATATTTGCTTTTATTTGCGTACAACACCCCTTAAAGAAAGCTGATGATTTACGATTGATATATCATTGTTTAGAGTCAATCGTACTTAAGAATCCCATATAATACAGCAAAGTAGAAATTATTTCTGGGAAGAAATGGTGGCCCTGAAAAGGGCCGGTTTGTTTTGTCTATCGGTGGTGAGCCTGCAGGTTTAGCCGCCAAAGCCGTACAGTGTACGTCCCTGACGTTTGAGAGCGTAGACAACGTCGCATTGGCGTGACGGTCTTCCTGCTTCGGCGTGGCTCGGTGTATGGTGACGGCATGCACGATGACGTTCTGCAAGAACACTTTCAGGACGTGCTCACCAGAGTCTCTCGTAAGAGCCAGAGATACCTTGCACACACACCTCGGCCGAGCAAGACGACGGATAGCAGGCTTGGTGACCCCTGATGTTGTCACGCCAACCCGTTGCGATGACGCTTGCGCCACCGCTTTCCGAGTCGCTTCTCCCTTTCCTCTTCACCAGACATTGATAGTAGTTTAAGGTTCTCCTAACGTCTACTAACGAATGTAGTCACACACGCTGCAAATACCGCAGCTATTATACCCAGCATCGCCGCCGCTAATATAGGCGGTACGCGCGCTCTAACCTGTCATTGTCAGTCATCAGGAACCGCTAAGTTGGTTACATTAGTCCGCACTCATTCTATGATTGGTGGCAATAACCTTTTTCCCGGCCATTCCACGCGAACATTAACGTCCACTACATTTATGTACTGAATATAGGTGACCCATAGCGATTAGATTGCCGGGCGCAATTTTAATTTTATATGTTAAATAAGTATTTTACAAATTAGAATACAATTTTTACAGGTTCATTTAACATATTACAAAGTTTCAACAGTTTCCGAATTGTGAAACAAATCTTTTCTATAAATAGAGTCGAAACAAAAATTATATAAGTTCAATTAAATAGTGTATAAAGTATTTAGTTGCTTTTGTTTGAAACTAAATCTTTTTGTCTTGAGAAATTACGATTTTTGCGAAACAAATTACGATATAAGAATTACAATATAACTCGCATACATGATATTGGGCCATTGGCATTATATGGAGGTATCGAAAGAAGTATAATTATAGATGCTAGTATAGATAGTATACCGACATAGATAGTAGATATAGATATAGATAATAGATATAGATATAGATATAGATATAGATATAGATATAGATATATGAATATAGATATAGATATAGTTATTATAGATATAGATATAAGATAATAGATATAGATATAGATATAAGATATAGATATAGATATAGATATACGATATAGATAATAGATATAGATATACGATACTATGATATAGATATAGATATAGATATAGATATTAATAAGATATAGATATAGATATAGATAGTATATAGATATAGATATAGATAGTAGATTAGATATAGATATAGATATATGATATAGATCATATAAGATATAGATATAGATATAGATATAGATAGATATAGAATAGATATAGATATAGATATAGATATAGATATAGATATAGATATAGATATAAATAGTAGATATAGGATATAGATATAGATATAGATATACGATATAGATATAGATAATAGATATAGATATATATAGATTATAGATATAGATATAAGATATAGATATAGATTTATAGTATATATATATACATATGTAAATATATATATAGATATAGATATATATATATATAGATATAGATAGTATATAGCATAGATAGTTTATATGCTAATAAGACGTGACGAGGGATAAGGTCACATACATATTATATGTCAAAATGGGGCAAGTAAGATGCGTACGTACATCAGTTAATGGAAATGAATAAAACCGAGAATATTTGAAGTAAAGTCATTAGGGCGACAATTATATATTATCAAAATTATATCAAATCAGATTATGTGTTTTACATTATTATATATATAATTTTAATAATAATCTATTTAATAAAATATATTACTAATTAAGATATATAAAAAATTTTAAGCTACATATTTGTACGTTGCTGGTTAGCTCTAAATGCAGTTGTTGCATTTGAATATGCGCAACATATCCAACTAGATATTACAACGGTACCGAACGTGGCAACGCGGTTCCTACATACTACTATGATGACAGGCACGTAATCAGGAGTATATTGGTCAGAATGACTCTTTTGTTATATTGAACCGATGGCGCGAACCTCATTTGGACACGAAAATCGTTCGTTATGTTTCCCGGTTATTCAGACCGGTTGCACGTTCCGGTTTATGTGTTCGGCTAACGAAAACGGCGGGTGTGCGTGGAAACGACGGCTGCCATGCGCTATAAAAGTAAGCGGCCAATCCGGTTTCAGCAACCGAACTGTTAACCAATCAGGATTAGCCCCGACCACTAGGTAACCATATATATACAGCCACGGTAAGAAGCAGTAATACAAGTTCGATTGCATTCGCTACTGCATAATAATGGCTCGTACCAAGCAGACAGCTCGTAAGTCAACGGGAGGCAAAGCTCCTAGGAAGCAGTTGGCGACGAAGGCAGCTCGTAAGAGTGCCCCGGCTACCGGAGGAGTGAAGAAACCTCATCGTTACAGACCCGGCACGGTCGCCCTGAGAGAGATCCGTCGTTACCAGAAGAGCACCGAGCTGCTCATCCGCAAGCTGCCCTTCCAACGCCTGGTCCGTGAGATCGCACAAGACTTCAAGACTGACCTGCGCTTCCAGAGCTCCGCCGTGATGGCTCTTCAGGAGGCTAGCGAGGCTTACCTTGTTGGTCTTTTTGAAGATACCAACCTGTGCGCCATCCACGCCAAGAGAGTCACGATCATGCCCAAGGACATCCAGCTCGCTCGCCGTATCCGTGGCGAACGCGCTTAAACACTGCGCCTGTACCAGTGAAACCAACCGGCCCTTTTCAGGGCCACCATTTCTTCCCAAAAATGATTTCTACTCTTGCTTAACCCATCACCTGGTATGACGGTGAAATAATAATCTGGCGGGGACAATATTAATATATATTGTTGTATATACGCGCGCGCACACACATACGATACTTTAATATAACATTACGTGTTACCAATACCATTACCATACCGATATAAACATGAAGGATTAGAGGTGCGCGGTATTACCGGTACGTACCGCGGTACTTTGTGTGGTGTAGCGGCTTTATTTTTTAGCTATTTTTATCACATCAATTTTATTACACTTCCTCGTCATTGCATAGCTTTATAAATTCATCTCCGTCGATCGACACCATTCACGCTATATTCGCGTATCTCCAGCACCTATTCTATATGCCTAGTAGATAATCTGCTCTGTTTTATTTGTACATACTTCATTACTTCAGACTGGTTCTAGCCATACGACACTCCTACTCTCACTCATGTTTGTTCCAAAGGAATTGCAAGATATAGCAGATTACAAGAATAACGCGACGCGGCGACTGCCAGGCGTTTTTCTGTGAGCGCGGCAGCGGTGCCTTTGATGGGAGAACAGGGCGCGATCGATCACGAGCGCGTAGCGCGGTAGCGCGTTTCACTAATCAGATAGCTCACCCTGTGCGGGTAACTAATCAGCTCAGCAGTATGGTGGCCGAGATAGCTCACCCTGTGCGG